CTTATTGAGGTTAATGTGGGCAAGTCGAAGTCCTAAGTCCTGTGACCCTACCCATCTCTCAATCTTATTGAGGTTAATGTGGCCAAGTTGAAGTCCTAAGTCCTGTGACCCTACCCATCTCTCAATCTTATTTAGGTTAATGTGGCCAAGTCTAAGTCCTAAGTCCTGTGACTCTACCCATCTCTCAATCTTATTGAGGTTAATGTGGCCAAGTCTAAGTCCTAAGTCCTGTGACCCTACCCATCTCTCAATCTTATTGAGGTTAATGTGGCCAAGTCTAAGTCCTAAGTCCTGTGACCCTACCCATCTCTCAATCTTATTGAGGTTAATGTGGCCAAGTCTAAGTCCCGTGACGTGACCTAGTCTCTAGTCATTGGCCTCCTATTAAGTAGTTATTGAGGTTAATGTGGCCAAGTCTAAGTTCTGTGACCCTAATGTGGCCAAGTCTAAGTTCTATGACCCTACTGCCAAGTCTAAGTCCTGTGACCCTACCCATCTCTCAATCTTATTGAGGTTAATGTGGCCAAGTCGAAGTCCTAAGTCCTATGACCCTACCCATCTCTCAATCTTATTGAGGTTAATGTGGCCAAGTCTAAGTCCTGTGACCCTACCCATCTCTCAATCTTATTGAGGTTAATGTGGCCAAGTCGAAGTCCTAAGTCCTGTGACCCTACCCATCTCTCAATCTTATTGAGGTTAATGTGGCCAAGTCGAAGTCCTAAGTCCTGTGACCCTACCCATCTCTCAATCTTATTGAGGTTAATGTGGCCAAGTCGAAGTCCTAAGTCCTGTGACCCTACCCATCTCTCAATCTTATTAAGGTTAATGTGGCCAAGTCTAAGTCCTGTGACCCTACTGCCAAGTCTAAGTCCTGTGACCCTACCCATCTCTCAATCTTATTGAGGTTAATGTGGCAAGTCTAAGTCCTGTGACCCTACCCATCCATCTCTCAATCTTATTGAGGTTAATGTGGCAAGTCTAAGTCTTGTGACCCTACCCATCTCTCAATCTTATTGAGGTTAATGTGGCCAAATGAAAGTCCTAAGTCCTGTGACCCTACCCATCCATCTCTCAATCTTATTGAGGTTAATGTGGCAAGTCTAAGTCCTGTGACCCTACCCATCTCTCAATCTTATTGAGGTTAATGTGGCAAGTCTAAGTCTTGTGACCTTACCCATCTCTCAATCTTATTGAGGTTAATGTGGGAAGTCTAAGTCTTGTGACCCTACCCATCTCTCAATCTTATTGAGGTTAATGTGGGAAGTCTAAGTCTTGTGACCCTACCCATCTCTCAATCTTATTGAGGTTAATGTGGGAAGTCTAAGTCTTGTGACCCTACCCATCTCTCAATCTTATTGAGGTTAATGTGGGAAGTCTAAGTCCTGTAACCCTACATCTCTCAATCTTATTGAGGTTAATGTGGGAAGTCTAAGTCCTGTGACCCTACCCATCTCTAAGTCTAAGTCCTGTGACCCTACATCTCTCAATCTTATTGAGGTTACTACCCGAAGTCTAAGTCCTGTGACCCTACCCATCTCTCAATCTTATTGAGGTTACTACCCGAAGTCTAAGTCCTGTGACCCTACCCATCTCTCAATCTTATTGAGGTTACTACCCGAAGTCTAAGTCCTGTGACCCTACCCATCTCTCAATCTTATTGAGGTTACTACCCGAAGTCTAAGTCCTGTGACCCTACCCATCTCTCAATCTTATTGAGGTTACTACCCGAAGTCTAAGTCCTGTGACCCTACCCATCTCTCAATCTTATTGAGGTTACTACCCGAAGTCTAAGTCCTGTGACCCTACCCATCTCTCAATCTTATTGAGGTTACTACCCGAAGTCTAAGTTCTGTGACCCTACCCCATCTCTCAATCTTATTAAGGTTACTACCCATCTCTCGATCTTATTGAGGTTAATGTGGCAAGTCTAAGTCCTGTGACCTAGTCTCTAGTCATTTTTACCCTACCCATCTCTCACCTATAGTCATTTTTACCCTACCCATCTCTCACCTAAATCCCACAACAACAGTAGTAGATTTAATCCACTTTTGCGCACATTTTGCCTAACAAAAATATAAGATGTCAGAAGTGGGATTTGAACCCACGCCCTCTTACGAGGACCAGAACTTGAGTCTGGCCCCTTAAACCACTCGGCCATCCTAACTGCTAATGGTATGTTCCTGGATTGGTTTGGGAGGGGAGTTTAGCATTCCGTATATGGGTGTGTAAATGTCATCATAGTAGACGCGTTTTAAAACTGCGAGGCTAACGACGATACGTAACGGATTAAAATAGATAATATCTACTAATTGTTTCATAGAGGAATGAAACAATCCTAATTAGCGGCAAAAACCTTTCTCTAATAGGCGCGCTTTAAAACTGTGAGGCTAATGGCAATACCTAATGGAAAAAAATTGACAATGTCTACTAGCGGTGCGCTTGGACTTTTACGAATGATATCAGAGCTAGTCACCAGACGATGCGCAAGTGAGGACGCTTGGTCCTCAAAAGGGGTGGATAGATCCCATATCAATTGGAGAGGTGAAGAAACATTTCTTACAAGGGTCGGATAACCTCTCCTTAGTAGATGCGGTTTAAAACCGTGAGGGTGACAACGATACGTAACGAACGAAAGCAGACAATATCAACTATTGATGGCCTTGGATTGTAACAAATGATTGGCTGGAATAGCTCAGTTGGTTAGAGCGTGTGGCTGTTAACCACAAGGTCGGAGGTTCAAGCCCCCTCCTTCTAGCGAACCCAATGATGCATACACTAACCTTCTGGTTCAAATTTGATTAGAGCGTTTGGCCCTTAACCACAAGGTTGGATGTTCTCAAGCCCTCCTTCTACTACCCTCCTTCTAGGGAACCTAATGATGCATACTTTATTATAGTTGGTGTTGGGGCTTCTTTCTAGTATATATTTTCAATCAACTTCGGTTTGTGACGTGTAAGAGAGCTAACTCGAACATCGAGATATTCTAAAAAATCATGTTTTATGGTAGGTAGGAAGTTCTTATCATTCGATAAATAGTGATGCTTTCGGCCCAAAGCCCACCATAGTAGTAGTAGTAGATTTAATCCACTTTGGCTCACATTTTACCTCACAATTATATGAGATGTCAAAAGTGGGATTTGAAACCCACGCCCTCTTATGAGGACCAGAACTTGAATCTGGCGCCTTAGACCACTCGGCCATCCTGACTGCTAATGGTGTGTTCCCAGATTGGTTTTGGAGGGGAGTTTAGCATTCCGAATATAGGTGTGTAAATGTCATCATAGTAGACGCGTTTTCAGAGCTAGTCACCAGGCGATGCGCCAATGAGAACGCTTGGCCCTCAAAAGGGGTGGATTGTGAGATCCCATATTGATTGGAGAGGTGAAGAAACATTTCTTACAATGGTTGGATAACCTTTTCTTAGTCGATGCGGTTTAAAATCGTGAGGGTGACAGCGATACGTAACGAACGAAAGCAGACAGGATCAACTACTGGTGGCCTTGGATTATATATCAAATGATTGGTTGGTGGCCTTGGATTATATCAAATGATTGGTTGGAATAGCTTAGTTGATTAGAGCGTTTGTGGCTGTTAACCACAAGGTTGGAGGTTCAAGCCCTCTTTCTGGCGAACCCAATGATGCATACTTTATTATAGTGGGTGTTTGTGCTTCTTTCTAGTATATATTTTCAATCAACTTCTGTTTGTGACGTGTAAGAGAGCTAACTCGAACTTCGAGATATTCTAAAAAATCATGTTTTATGGTAGATAGGAAGTTCATATCATTCGATAAACAATGAGATGCTTTCGACCCGAAGCCGCACGCCCTCTTATCATGTTTTATGGTAGGTAGGAAGTTCTTATCATTTGAAAAAAGAATGATGCTTTCAGCCCGGTGTCACGGTCCTACATTCTTGACCGTGCGGCGTCGTGATCTATACATGCTCACGACCAGCCTTAAGGGGAATTAAGCCCCATTATATTTTTCGCCCCGGCTTTGTGGCTTCGTCGGACCTTAGGCGAGGTTTGCCTTCGCCAATCAAACATCGCTTGTGCGGAATCCAAGCTTGTTCAACCACACACGCCGCCTGTGCGTGTATGTTCAATCATCTGCGACACATCCGACTTGCCTCTATGCTAGGCCAACCCATTCGGCTCGACCTTGCCTCTGCTCGGGCCAAGGTCTCTCAATACAACGTCGCATCTCATCTTGCCACCTCGATCCCCATCGACAGGGTCCATATGTCTTGACGCCATCCCGAGTCTCGGGATGTCGTCGCTCATCATAACTCGTTCGGTCATGCCATCGAGAATGGGCACACTCGTCTCGGCACGCTCGCCCACACTGCGACACCACGTATGTGCCACAGGGCCCGGGGTGGTGGAGAGCTAACACCATGGTACCCCTATAGTACATTTTGAGCCATTTTTCGTGAGGTGTCATATGGTGTCGTGCATTGTCCGTCCAATGTCCGATTGACACCAAACTTGGCGAGCATTCATATTTCATATGGACGGACTTAACTCCCGAACCGCATGACCAAATTCCTTCCGAAACCTCGACTTTTGAGGTTAAGGCCCGGGGCCCTACCCGGCCCTTCATGTCTATGCTGATGTCTCAACATGTCTTCAATGCCCACTTTGCGTGGTGGTGGTGTGTTGGATGATGCATCGTCCTCCTCAATCGCATCATGGCATTCTTCTACGTTGGCCCGCATATGGCCGGATGGGCGTCTCTTGAGGGACGCCCCTTTGCTTGTGTCATGGCGTGAGGGTCACCAACCTACTCTCTTTCATAGTAAGGTTGTGACATTCTCCCCCACTTAACTTAGTCATCGTTCTCGATGACTTACTCAGGTCACAATCATATTGCGGATTGTGACACCCGGCTCGCATTTTGCCTCACAATTATATGAGATGTCAGAAGTGGGATTTGAACCCACGCGCCCTCTTACGGATTGTGACACCCGGCTCGCATTTTGCCTCACAATTATATGAGATGTCAGAAGTGGGATTTGAACTCACGCCCTCTTACGAGGAACAGAACTTGAGCCTGGCGCCTTAGACCACTCGGCCATCCTGACTGCTAATGGTGTATTCTTGGATTGGTTTGGGCGGGGAGTTTAGCATTCCGTATATGGGTGTGTAAATGTCATCATAGTAGACGCGTTTTAAAACTGCGAGGTTAACGACGATACGTAATGGATTAAAATAGATAATATCTACTAATTATTTGACAGAGGAACGAAACAATCCTAATAAGCGGCGAAAACCTTTCTCTGATAGGCGCGCTTTAAAACTGTGAGGCTAATGGCAATACCTAATGGAAAAAAATTGACAATGTCTGCTAGCAGTGCGCTTGGACTTTTACGAATGATATCAGAGCTAGTCAGTAGGCGATGCGCCAGTGAGAACGTTTGGCCCTCAAAAGGGGTGGATTGTGAGATCCCATATCAATTGGAGAGGTGAAGAAACATTTCTTACAAGGGTAGGATAACCTCTCCTTAGCAGATGCAGTTTAAAACCGTGAGGGTGACAGCGATACGTAACGAACGAAAGCAGACAATATCAACTATTGGTGGCCTTGGATTGTAACAAATGATTTGCTGGAATAGCTCAGTTGGTTAGAGCGTGTGGCTGTTAACCACAAGGTCGGAGGTTCAAGCCCTCCTTTTAGCGGACACAATGAAGTATACATTATTATAATGGGTGTTTGTGCTTTCCCTCTAGTATATATTTTCAATCAACTTCGGTTTGTGACGTGTAAGAGAACTAACTCGAACTATAAGATATTCTAAAAAAAATCATGTTTTGACACTTTTAAAAAAGGACTCACGAGTCAACTAATGTCCACCATGGTACGAAGTTCTTATCATTCGATAAACAATGATGCTTTCGACACAAAGCCTCGCGAACAAGAGTAGTTATAGTAGATTTAATCCACTTTGGCTCGCATTTTGCCTCACAATAATATGAGATGTCAGAAGTGGGATTTGAACCCACACCCTCTTACAAGGACCAAAACTTGAGTCTGGCGCCTTAGACCACTCGGCCATCCTGACTGTTAATGCTGTGTTCCCGGATTGGTTTGGGAGGGGAGTTTAGCATTCCGTATATGGGTGTGTAAATGTCATCATAGTAGACGCGTTTTAAAACTGTGAGGCTGACGACGATACGTAACGGATTAAAATAGATAATATCTACTAATTGTTGGATAGAGGAACGAAACAATCCTAATAAGCGGGAAAAACCTTTCTCTAATAGGCGCGTTTTAAAACTGTGAGGCTGATGGCAATACGTAATGGGAAAAAATGGACAATGTGTGCTAGCAGTGCGCTTAGACTTTTACGAATGATATCAAAGCTAGTCACCAGGCGATGCGCCAATGAGGATGCTTGGCCCTCAAAAGGGGTGGATTGTTAGATCCCATATTGATTGGAGAGGTGAAGAAACATTTCTTACAAGGGTCAGATAACCTCTTCTTAGTAGATGCGGCAAAAGGGGTGGATTGTGAGATCCCATATTGATTGGAGAGGTTAAGAAACATTTCTTACAAGGGTCGGATAACCTCTTCTTAGTAGATGCGGTTTAAAACCGTGAGGGTGACAGCGATACATAACGAATGAAAGCAGATAATATCAACTACTGGTGGCCTTGGATTATAACAAATGATTGGTTGGAATAGCTTAGTTGATTAGAGCGTGTGGCTATTAACCACAAGGTTGGTGGTTCAAGCCCTCTTTCAAGCAAACCCAATGATGCTTACTTGATTATAGTGGGTGTTTGTACTTCTTTCCAGTATATATTTTCAATCAACTTCGGTTTCTGACGGGTAAGATAGCTAACTCGAACTTCGAGATATTCTCAAAAATCATGTTTTATGGTAGGTAGGAAGTTCTTATCATTCGATAAACAATGATGCTTTTGGCCCAAAGCCTACAGTAGTAGATTTAATGCACTTTGGCTTGCATTTTGCCTCACAATAATATGAGATATCCAGAAGTGGGATTTGAACCCACGCCCTCTTATCATGTTTTATGGTAGGTTGGAAGTTCTTATCATTTGATAAAAACAATGATGCTTTCGGCCCAAAGCCTACCAATAGTAGATTTAATCCACTTTGGCTCGCATTTTGCCTCACAATAATATGAGATGTCAGAAGTGGGATTTGAACCCACACCCTCTTACGAGGACCAAAACTTGAGTCTAGCGCTTTAGACCACTCAGCCATCCTGCCTGCTAATGGTGTGTTCCCGGATTTGTTTGGGAGGGGAGTTTAGCGTTCCGTATATGGGTGTGTAAATGTCATCATAGTAGACGCGTTTTAAAACTGCGAGGCTGACGATGATACGTAACGGATTAAAATAGATAATATCTACTAATTGTTTGACAGAGGAACGAAACAATCCTAATAAGCGGCGAATCCGAAAGATATATTCTATTTTCAATAAAGTTATTATTGATGTTTATTCAGAAAAAATTGTTATTGAATAAAGTGAACTTTACGACCATTAATCTAAATCCAATAAACTAAGAACACTCTGGCTATAGTATGGCTATATAGTATGATTACTTGAACTATATGTAGAGACATAAAAGTGGATCAAGTCCAAGTATATAGTCAAAATGATCTATAGTATAAGGATAAGGCTGAGTACCTTATTCTGGGGACACTATGGATGCGGCCCACTTTTGTATATGATATAAACAATGTGATCACTAAATTGTACATGTGGAGACATGTGAGTGGGGGCGTCCTATGCAATGAGTATTGCATAAGATCGGACCATGAAGAAAATCACTCTCACTTTATAATGTCGTTTACTGTTGAGACTGATTTTCTTTTCATTCGATGACCTAGGTAACTCGATCTTAATCCTGAGCTAACCATGAACTCCTGTTCATTCGGAATTATCCTTAGATTTGCATGGGTGAGAGTGGCTCGAGTTCGCCGACTCAATAGGCCTCCCATTTCAGGGGTAAGACTGGGTGAATAGTTGGGGACGTGGGGTGCAAGATGGAATTCGCTCCTACCCACTTTTAAGAGAAGTAATTCCCTTAAGTACTGACTCCAGGTCTTGAACAAGGGGCCCCACCCACTCATTGGCCTGAGAGGGATTCGGTTTACTGGTTGGACCACAAACCAATTGTTCATAAGAGGATCAGTGGGACATAAGGAACAAGAAGTAACTTTAGGGGTAAAACGGCTAATTGACCCAACTCTAGTTACGAACAACCTGTGAAGGATCAACTTACTAATCATGGGTATATCAAATGGACAGAAATATATCTATAATGAGGGGAGTGCAACTACTAGGCTATAGTGGAGTGTCCTAGTAGTTAACGAATGTTGGTTAACAAGGTTAATGAGTTTAACCGGTTAATCTTGGATCGTTGGAGCCCACGATCTATAGGTCCATTAGGTCCCTCTGCTAGCTCATATCGGACTAAACCATAGAACAATGTGACAATTGAGTTCGAAGTGTTCGAATTCAAATTAGGGAATATGCGTTACATATATACGATATATTTAACCGTATTTTTGTTTTATTTACGAATTAAACAAAAAGAGATAATATGAGATATTTAAATAAGATTTAAATATCTTAATCAATTATGTGTCGGAATTGATTGGGATTGGCATTTGAATTAATATTAAATATTAATTAAGTAGTTTAATTAATCATTTAATATTACTTTAATTTGAAATTCATTATTCAAATTAATTGTTGAATTAAAATGAAGAAAGTCAAAATGTTGACTTCATTTAATGGAAAAAATCCATGTTAGTGGAATTTTGAGGTGTCAAAATTTGGTTTAACCAAACTTGCATGTTAGCCAAATAAACCCCACAAGTTTGAGTAGAATTTTGAGTGTCAAAATTTGGTTAACTCAAACATGCATGCTTGCCACATAATCCCAAACATTTGAGTGGAATTTTAAGTGTCAAAATTTGGTGATCTCAAATTTGCATGAACATGCAAACTTGGCTCTTTAAATAGAGTGATCATGGTACTTGGAAGGTCTTCTTCTTGGTGAAAAACCTTGAGAAAAACCTCTCACAAACACTCTCTTCACATATACAAAATCCCTCCCAAGTTTAGTCACTCACCGGATTCCACAATCCCGTTCTAAGGTCGGAGAATAGTGGAGAAGACACTAGTGGTGGTTCGAAACCGGTTCGTGAGGAAAAAGAAGTTTGAACTAGGAAAGGTTAGTATCTAAACTCATTAAGTTTTAGTACTTATGAACATGCTAGTTTTTTTACCATAATTGATGTTCTAAAAGTGCTTAAGATCCAAATTGCTTCCGCATGTGTTATATTAACACCATCATGTGCTTCTCTCTAGTATATATTTTCAATCAACTTCGGTTTGTGACGTGTAAGAGAACTAACACGAACTAGATATTCTAAAAAATCATGTTGCACTTTTAAAAAAGACTCGCGAGTCAACTGATGTTCAATGATGCTTTCGACACAAAGCCCACACACAACAGTAGTAGATTTAATCCACTTTGGCACGCATTTTGCCTCACAATATAATATGAGATGTCAGAAGTGGGATTTGAACCCACGCCCTCTTACGAGGACCAAAACTTGAGTCTGAAGCCTTAGACCACTCGACCACCCTGACTGCTAATGGTGTGTTCCCAGATTGGTTTGGGAGTGGAGTTTAGCATTCCGTATATGGGTGTGGTAATGTCATCATAGTAGACGCGTTTTAAAACTGCGAGGCTGACGACGATACGTAACGGATTAAAATAGATAATATCTACTAATTGTTTGAAAGAGGAGCGAAACAATTCTAATAAGTGGCAAAAACTTCTCTCTAATAGGCACTTTTTAAAACTGTGAGGCTGATGGCAATACCTAATGGGAAAAAATGGACAATGTCTGCTAGCAGTGCGCTTGGACTTTTACGAATGATATCACAGCTAGTCGCCAGGCAATGCGCTAGCGAGAGCACTTGACCCTCAGAAGGGGTGGATTGTGAGATCCCACATCGATTGGAGAGGTGAAGAAACATTTCTTACAAGGGTCGGATGACCTCTCCTTAGCAGATGTGGTTTAAAACCGTGAGGG